CCCCCTCCGCCCTCCCCCCTGGGCTCGCCGCCGAGAAGAACCCGAGAGCGCAGCGCCATCGCGAGCGAGGACATCAGCCCCGGCTGGTTGTAGTCCAAAACGGCGGCCGCATAAGACAGTGCCTCCTGCCTGTCCGTCAGCTCCCGCACGCCTTCTGGCGTGGCCAGCCACCGCAGCAGGCGGGGCAGCCCAGCGATGTCGTCCTCGTGCACGAAGAACGCAATCTTCGACCAGTCTAGTCGAGAAACAAACCAGAGGCATAAACATAAACTTTCGGAGGTCCACGCGGATTTCTGGATCGGCGATGAAGCCACCTGGCGGCGCCTCCGCCGCCGCCCCTGGCGCGCTCCGCGCGCCAATGAAGGGGCTCCAGCGCCGATCCTAGAAACCCGCGCGGACCTCCGACAAATTATGTTTATGCCACTGTTTGTTCCCCCATCTAGGTGCTCATGCAGTGGCGGCTGGAGACGCTCTGAAATTATTACCGGCACGCAGCCGTGCATGATGACCTCGACCAGGCGGCCCGTATTCGGGGAATCCCCATCGGGCGCCAGGCAGAGGCGCGAGCGGAAGGCGAGCTCCGACCACTCCTCCTGCATGAGTCGACGCTCTGGCGGGAAGATCACAGAGGAAGAAAACATGGCACACACATAAACTGTTGGAGCTCTGCGCGGACTTCTTGGACCGGCGCTGGGCCCCGCTGGTGCCTTCTCTGGCGCCGCCTCTGGCACGCTCCGCGCGCCAGGAAAGGGTGTCCCGCGCCGATCCAGGAAATCCGCGTGGACCTTTGAACATGTATGCTTATGCCGTATTTTGTTCTTCGGGATCAAGACCCTCCCCCCCATGGCGCCACCAGAGACATTTCCGGACAACTCTGCCTCGGCTCTGCTGCGGAACATGGCGTGCAATTTCTCCCGTGCACACGAATTCTGAGTCCCGCTGTAGAACACGTGGATGTCGCGCGAGGATCGGGTGCTGCCTGAAGTGTCCCTGGCATTAGGTGGCCCCAGCTTTTCGCACCACTTCGGGGCCCCCTGGGGCCCTCTGGGCCTCGTGAGGGCTTCTCTGGAGGCCGCGGGGGCCTCCGTGGAAATCCTGCGGATACCCTGGGCTCCACGGACGCCTCTGGCAACACCCGCGAGGAGAACTGCCCCGACCGCCTCGTCCAGCCAAAAGCCACGATCCACGGCAGCACCTGAGCATCGTTTAACCGATTCCCATCCCCACCAGCGTGGGCTGGGCCCCACTGGCCGACTGACCCCCCTGGATGGGGATATAGGCTGCTCCCTTCGGGCTTCGAGGGGCATGCCCCCAACTGAGGTGGCGAGACGGTGGGGATCGAGATGTGGATGGGGATCTGGATCGGTTAAACGATACTCTTTAAAGGCTTAACGACTTCTGCCGTCCTTCGACTCGCGCTGGAGCGGCCGCGAGTTGCTCCAACTTGCCCTGGAGATCCCTGGATTTACCTGGATTTACCCGGATGTATCTCGATTTACCTGGATGTGCCTAGATTTATGTGAATTTACCTGGATTTATCTGGCTCGATCCCCACAAGTCGATTGGCGAAAAGTCGACAAGCCCTTAGGGAGATACTGAGATCCATGGCAGCACCACGTCGTCCTGCAGCACTGGCGGCGGTTCCCGCTGGCAGTGCAACGGGCAGATCGCCCGACAGGCGGGCTCCGCGCCGGCCTGGCGGCCGCGCCTCCGCGACGCGTGGGCCAGGAAGAGGTCCGACTCGGCGGCGCGCCGAGGGGGGGGAGGACGCGCTTGTATACGCAGAGGGCAGAAGGCGTCTATACACACCACCACCGTGTCAAGGCAGGGCCATCCTGGGCCCCAGGATGGCCCTGGGCTGGCACGGCGGTGGTGTATAGACGCCCTCGTCGGATTGTGCGGCACCTCTCCCCGCCTCTCCTGGTGCACTGCAGCTCTCCGCTCCGCCTCTAGGGGAACGAAGAATGGCATAAACATAAAACCTCTGAGGTCCGCGCGGATTTCTCGGGTCCGCGCTGGGACCCCCTCCCTGGCGCGCGGAGCGCGCCAGGGGCGGCGCCGGAAGCGCCGCCAACAGGGTCCAGCGCGGATCCGAGAAATCCGCGCAGACCTCCGAATTTTCATGTTTATGTCATTGTTTGTTCCCCTAGCCTCTGGTCCCGTCGTCGACGAGGCTCGTTCGATGCTGCACCGTGGGCAGCTGGACCTGGAGCCCGAAGAGCCCCTGTATAGTGGGCGAAACGCGTAGCGCCTTACGCTCTTCTCGCTTGCGACTCGATCCAACACAAGAGGGGGCTGGGCCTTCTCTCGGAAGGCGGCGGGACTTCGGAGGAGGCTCGGTCAGCTTCTCAGAGGGCCTGAGGCCTTCGGAGCCTTCTGAGAAGGCCCGCGCCCCTCTGCCTGCCCCCCCCTGGGCGCGCCGCCGACTGGCTGTTGAGAGAGCCATCCGGAGAGGCCCGCGTGGGTCAAAAACACGGCCTTGGCACCGAATGCGCCAGCCAGGTTCCGCCAGACGTGGCGGCCGTAGACACTCACGATCAGGAAACGGCACGAGCGGCGGTCCATGCAAGTCTTGAATTCGGGCACCCTTGCCCAGCTCTTGAGTGCACCCATGAGATATGTGCCGTCTACCTGTCTCGTCGAGCGTAGCGGAAGAGATCCCTCGTACTCGAGGTACGCCTCAGACGCTGGTGTCGTCTCCGTCGAGCCGTTTGGGCGTGGCCTGGGCCTCCTCTTCTTCTGTCCTTGCCTTTCTATCTGCTCCTTGGCAACGACATGCATGAAGATGCCGGTGGCGCAGTGGGGCAGGTATACAAAGTCGGCCACGTTCATGTCCTCGACCAGGTACCCGCTGTTCCCGAGAATCCATGTGCGCATATAGTTCTCGAGGGAATACCTGTACCCGAGCGACTCCTCCGACCAATCGCACGCGCGCCCCCACTGCCCGCCGTCTAGCGCGAAGATGCGGGGCAGCCCACGGCCGGTCTGCATGAAGTCCGAGAACTGCTCCAGTGAGTGCTGCGTGTGCACCTTCAGGGTGACGCCAACTACGCGCCCACACCGATCTGGGTCGGGCCCGTCCTGGGCACAGGATCTGCGCACGCGCCTTCCTGGCCTGACCAGGAGCGCGCTGGCATCGATCCAGTGCCCAATGTGTGGAGGTCTCCCAAACGGGGTCCGAGTGGACGGGGTCGGAGGATCTCGCTGCATCGCCGACGCATCGCATCGACAATGCATCGGTGATGCACCGGCGCCGTCGGCGAGGCATCGGCACCGCATCGAACCACATCGCCGATGCGTCGCCGATGCGGCGCGATCCTCCGACCACATCTGCTCTGACCCCATCTGCTGAGCATTTTCTTAGGGTGGAGGGCTCAGGGTGAAATCCATATGGGCTATTGCACCTCGAAAATCAATCGGTCTTGTGATTCACCTTTTGCAGACTCAAACCTCGAACATCCATCGAAACGGCATTTCAGATTTCACCCTTTGCCCTCCACCCAAAGAAAACGCTCCGATCTGGGAGGCCTAGAATGTGTCGATCTGTCGAGAGGTGAGTAGGAGAAGGAGGAGGATGAGAAGGAGAAGGTACGCTCCAGCAAAACAGCATGAAGTTGTCGAATGTAAAAAGGAGGAAGAGGAGGAGGAGGAGGAGGACGAGGACGAGGAGGAGGAGGAATAGGAGGAGGAGGAGGTACGCTCCAGCAAAACAGCATGAATCTGTCGAATGTAAAAAGGAGAAGGAGGACGAGGAGGAGGAGGAGGAGGAGGAGGAGGAGGAAGGACGTCAACAGAGATCTCTGCTGCGGCCCGACGAGTCTCGTCAAGCCTTTGGGCGCAACGCGGTGGCCATCTAAGCCCCGACGGCGCCGATCACAATCCACACCCCTGCGTAACTCGGGGGCGCGCAAACATGGAATAGCGATCCATGGATTTGGCGCGCTGTCGCCAAATCCATGGACCCGGGGGAGGTGCCCTCCGCAAAATGCGGCCGGTGCCGCCTCGCTCGGCGGCGGAACTCCGCGATTTCTCATGGAAACGGGACTCTTCGCTAATCCACGTCCCCTTAATCCATGTTTGCGATCGCCTGATTGTAGCAGAAGGGTCAAAAACCGAATCGATAATCATAGCGACGATCGAAATGAGTCGGACCAATGGAAATCGGCAGCCAAGTCGAGAAAGTCGGATCGGCGAAACATCGGCTGGCTGGTGCGGCCTTCACCGAGAGACCGAGATCCATCTCAAACCCAAAGCCGGATCGTATCGGACTCGAAACGAATCGAATCAGAGGAGCCGATCTGAGCCCTGCCGTGGTCGCTGGCCGATGCATCGATCCGACCAGGACCCAGAGGAGGAGAAGGAGAAGGAGGAGGAGGAGGAAGAGGCGGAGGAGGATGAGGAGGGAGGAGGAGGGAGGGGGGGAGGGGGAGGAGGAGGAGGAGGTGGAGGAGGAGGAGGAGGAGGAGGAGGAGGAGGAGGAGCAGGAGGAGGAGGAGGAGGAGGAGAAGGAAGGGTCGAATGGGAGTTCGACCCACACGCCATCAGGGCGTGCTGCAAGACGTTGAAGATTCGGACGGCGCTGGGCAGCGACAACGTCCATCCACGAGATCGTTTGTTGGTCAGCGATGACTGCCTACAGGCGCTCGCAAGCCTCTGGAAGGCCATCCTGAAGTTCGGTCATGTCCCCAGCCAATTGAAAACCATCCTGGTGGCCATGATCAAATAACCTGACGGAAAACATAGGCCTATCGGGCTTCTTTCCGCTTTCGTGCGTATCCTGTCCAGGATGCTCAGGAAGGAGGCGACCTCTTGGGAGTGGGCCCATCCTAGGGACTACTTCTATGGGAGTGCTGGACGTTCATGCGAGCGAGCGGTTTGGGGGGAGCAGTCAGCTTTAGGAGAGTTTGCTCAGAACACGGGCATCGCCTTCTCCTCCTCCCTCCTCGACCTTACCCACACGTACGAGAAAGTGGCCCACATCCTCCTTGTGCGTGCGGCCATCAAACACAAATTCAACGTCGTCATTCTTAGACACCTTCTAACCGTCTATCGGGGTCGTCGACACGTCACGTTGGGTAAGATGTGCTCTCAAGGGGTTTTCGCGATCAAGGCCATACTTGCTGGGTGCACCTTCGCTACTACCCTCCTCAAGGTTTTCCTCCTCGACACTCTTGATATGACGGCGGATGCTTTCAGATTTGTGCGTATATTCAACGTTGTAGACGACATGACCTTATGTATGGCTGGGCAGGCCAAAGCTGTTGCCACGGGGCTCGGTCTTGCCAGTTTCTTTCTTTGCCAGCAGCTCGAGCGAATGTGCCTCATCGTGTCCAGGACCAAGGGAATTGTGGTGTCAACCCAGAGCTGGATTTCGCGTTTCCGCGCTCGTCGTCCGGCTGCGATTGGTGCTAGACGGATCCTGACGACTGGAAGTCTTCCTGCGGGTATGTACGGAGCAAAAATGCATGGGGTCTCCAGCAAGAGACTGGCCCAGATCCGTACCGTCATCGCCCGAAGTGCTTTTGGAGTTTCCCGAGGGCGCTCCCGAACCCTCGAGTTCATGATGTGTGCCGACCCCACCCTCGACCCGACCTACCAGGCCAACCTCCTCCCCCTCCAGTCCTGGGTGCAGGCTTGGCGCGAGAATCGGTTGCCTAGGAGCCTCATGCAGAACCTGTTCGAGCAAGGCCTGAAGGGGGACCCTTCGGATTGGAAGCGTGTTAGGGGGCCTGGCGGGGCCGTTGTGTGTACCCTTGGGCGCCTCGGATGGTCTGGGCAGCACCCTGTCATCTGGAAGGACCCCAATGGGACCCTGTTGGATGTCGGTTACCTTGGCAAGAAGTCGCTTAAGACCCTGGTCGTCGCGGGCTCCAAGAAGGCCTTGATCAAGAGCCTCGAGGGTACGAATGTCCATGTCAGTATTTTGAGAGGGCCCCCTAGGCTGGAACCTATCATTGATGTCCTGAGACAGCTCAGAGGACGAGGCCGAGTTGCTGAGGCTGCTTATCTGGCAGGCAATGTTTCAGGAGGCTACCCGACACACAGCATTTTGTTCATGGATCGGCGCACGGCTTGCTCAAAGTGCAAGTTGTGCGGCGACATCGGCACGCCGAAGCACAGGATAGTTGGCTGCCCTGCTACATGGTGGACACGCCGAGAGTTGGACGTTCCAGAAGCGATCGCTGATTTCGAAAAGGCTTCGCCCTACGATATCGGTACCGCCAGATGTTTGGTCCCCAGCTTGGCTTTTGAGGCCCCTCCACCCCGTATGTTTTTTCCCCAAGTGTGGAGTATTTTTCCCCCTCATGGGGTGTTCAGTGGAAATGTTGCCATCGACGTCTCGGCAAACTCCCCAGGAGATTCTGCTTTGGAGCGTGCTGATTGGGGGATTGTCCGAATTGACCGCCACAGGGGACTCGGATGGGGTCCTGCACGGGCCCTTGCCCCATCCCGTCCAGCAGGCGGGGTGTGCCGAAGTGTGTGCTCTGCTCGTGCTTGTTCTAAACGTGGGAGTGGAGCCCGTGCACGCTGTGTGTGATCGCAAGAGGGCAGTTGATGTCTGGCAGGCCGAGGTTTGGCGTGATGTGTACAGGCAGTGCGAAGATTTAACAGCGCCCGTCACAGTGGAAACAATTCGGAGCCACCAGTCCTGGGCCAAGGCAGCGGCCCAAGCATGTGCTTGGTGGGCTTGGAGAGGCAACCGAGAGGCCGACAGACTGGCCAAGCTCGGAGCCCGAATGCACCAGACGCCCCCCAGGCTTCTAGATGAATTGCGTGACCTTGATTTTCAGGCCCGCGGCCGATCTACCTTGGTCGCGGAAGTAGGGGGTGCTCTTTCTAAGCTTAATTTCGGTGATGCAGACAAGTTCAGAGCAAAGAGGCTCAAGGCCCCTGCCACCCTTGTGCTCATTTCAGATGCGAATGGCCATGACCTTGTGCGAGTGGGGAAGAGAACCGCTTGCATCAGATGTGGAATTCGAGACTGGTCCGGAGGTGCAGTGACCTCGTTCCCGTGCACAGGGCACCCCAGAGCTGTTCGATTATCGCACCCCTCCCATAGACTTTGGAGTGGTGAAGGTGGTCGAGTATGGTGCAGTGTCTGTGGGGCGCTCGGCACTACCAAGGTGGTCCTCCTAGCGAAGCCTTGCCACAACGGCCCCAGGAATAAGCCTGCCTGCAAAACCCTGTCCCTCCTCAAGTGTGGGATCGACCCTTCGTCGGGGGTGCAGTTTGGCAGATCGGTGCCGTTCAGTCGAGGATGACCCCTGGTATGTGCCGTGCGTACATATATATATATATATATATATATACACACACCCTTTTCTATATTTTTATAATTCCGGGGGTGCGGACCCCCCCCTCCCGAAACGAGACCCCCCGGATCCGTGCCACGGGGGCGGCCGAAAATCCTTTCCAAGGCGTGCACGCAGGCGGGCGGCAGTGCCAAATCGGTCGGCGCAAGCCCACAGAGACACCCAAGACAGTCCAGGATAGCACCCGGGTAGCCTTGAAGACCCTCCGCGAGAGTCCCATAACCGTTCTCAAAGGGGGCCCGAGAGAACAAAAGCATTGAATTCCCATTGGTTTTTCAATGTTTTTACCGTCTTCGCTTTTTCGGGTTTCCGACGCTCCCGGACCGCCCAAGAAGCTCCCAAAACCGCTCCAAGACGGCCTAAGAAGCTCCCAGAGCGCGCTGAGAGCGCCCCAAGACGGTCCAAGACGCGCCCGAGATGGCCCACGAACGCTCCAAGACGGCCCAAAAAGGGGCCCCAGGGGGGACCACGAACTGAAAACACGAGCCTCCCGCCCCGAGAAGGCCCAAGGAGGCCCCAAGTGAGCTCCACAGGGCCTCGGGAAGCCGCCTAAGTAGCTCCGGTGAGGCTCCAAAAACATCCCAAATTGTTACTTTTCCATTGGTTTTTCAATGTTTTCAGCGTCCTCGCTTTTTCGGGTGTCCGACGCTCGAAGACCGCCCAAGAAGCTCCCCAAACCGCCCCACAACGGCCCAAGAGGCTCCCAGAGCGCTCTGA